CCTATTGTAATGACATCATTTTGTTAATTATATGGCAGGTTCACTTTAAAACTAAAGTGATCATTTGGACTGGTGCGGCCCGTAGCAACCGTATTCTCCCTTTCATGCTTCAAAAGAGACCCCAGTTGTTATGAGTGACATGAATATCTCTTCCCTTAGACAAGCTCAGTCCTCAGCAACCACATGGAAAAAAAAATTACAACTTCCGTTTAATTTACTAAAATAAATTGGCCCGGGAAAGGGGAAGGGGGACTTTACAGCTGAACTCCAGACAGATATCACAGACACAATTAATTGCTGCTCTTAATATCAATGCTAGCAGTTTAAGAACCTGATTTGGACTTGGTATTTGTCTCTTGCAGCACCTGTACAGCAGAGCTTAAAGTGGGAGACAAAGAAGCATCAAAATAAGCCTATCCATTGGATTGCAGTGTTCATGTGCTAACAAGAAACATGCTGATAGGAAGAGAGAGCAGAGTGATGTGCTTATCATTCTGCCGCTTCTCCTCTTATGGTCTAGTCACGGGCTGGGGAAGAGAGACAAGACCTGTAAGTGTCCCTTAACTGCAGCTAAGAAAATCATGTTTTCTCTGTTGTGTTGTGTGGCAGAGATGTACATCTCAGGACTGGATGGACAGAAATACAACCCCTCTGGCAAGAAAAACAGCTTTCACATATGTATTTCATCTGCGTATTTGGTCGTTTGCCTGCAGTTCAGCTTTAAGATTTTACATGGTAAAATAAAGAGATAAGTGCAATCTAACCCCATTGTCGCTGGCAAGGCCCTTTAAGTGGGCCGTCATATGGGAGGCCCCCAGGAGGGGCTCCTATGTATTTGTTCATTTGTGATTGGTTGTAAAGTGATGATGTAATCAGGAGTCTGTCCTACCAGCTCCCGATCATTGGTAGTTGACAGCAACTGGCCGCTGACAGCTCAGTCACAGTTCTGAGGGGGCCAATAGAGCAAGCCCAAAAACCATACAGCGACACATATATGCGGCAGCAGTGCGTTAAGGGCCACCAATGATGCTGCCACTTATCTGTGTTACACCGTCATAAGGTGTTAACAGTGTCAGCCATTGTAGGCTGGAGGGTGCTGACTGTAATAGCTTGATTGTGAATATCAGGACTTCTAAGAAGCTCTTTAACCCCTTAAGTACCAAGCTTCAGATGCTTGTATTTCAGTTGAGGACCAAAGCAATTTTGACTGTGTGTGTGTTCTACCGCAATTTCCATCGTTCTCATTGATTGCACCAACACATATTATATACGGTTTTGTAAAGGACAAAAAGGGTTTTAATTTGATGTGACATATGCATATATAAGTTCTCATTTAGTGCATGACGGAAGCTCAAACATTTAAGGACCCATGACGGAATTATTCCGTCATGGATCCTTATGGCACGGACAACCATGAGGGAATAATTCCGTCATTCGTCCTTAAGGGGTGAAACCCTTACAAATATTACAGTAAATGATACTCATTAAGTTCATCCGAATTTAAGTTATTTGGTGTTTTTAGTATATCTTCTGCACATTGCATTGCTTCTACACTTCATAATGTCGCTATGCCTGGCTAGTCTATATACAAAGTCTTCCGATCTAGAAATGAGTCTATATGAGATAATATGGACAGGACCTTTGCGTGCATTATACCATCATTAAAGAAGGCATTGCAGACCCTGCCATTAAAGTGCAACAAAGAAAAAAAATACTCATTCAGAATCCATGAGACCCACCTTTAGTGGAGGTAGACAGGGCTGGACAAAACCCAGGAGCCAGGTCGCCAATGCTCCTTAAAAATAACAGCTGCGTCTAACTTTTCAGGTTTTTTTCTAGATGTCAATGGCGCTGGCTCCTAAAAACCCCGCTAGCTCCTGGATTTGACAAAATGGCTCCCGATTTCCTAAATTCGGTCCCATAAGTGCTACCAGTTCATAAACCAACACTGACTACCTCTAACTCACCCTTCTCTCCCCCTCTGCTGGCACTACAGCAGATGCATGGAAGATACTGGGAAGGCTCTTCTACCCACACAGAGAGCTAAACATTAAAGGACATAGAGATGGACTGGGACTTAAAAGGTATACAACAGGCAACAGTTTGCCTACTCCCCTTTAACACCTTAGCACCTTTAATACACCCAGCTGGATCAAGCAACTTGCTCAAACAACCCGTTACCTTTTTACTTTCTCCTGCTGTTCCTGAGAGCATTACCGGATGAGTCAACATTCAGCTTGGATTAGGCTACAAGAAGGTATAGAATGCAGCATATCTTAACATGCACATCCATTCTAATGCTACACAAACTAAGACGTGACAATTTTAGTTATGCACACCCCTGGACATTCAGAAATAAATTATTCACACCCCCTGAGCCTCCTCCTCCAGCCTTTTAGAAGCATTGCTTGTAGTGTGAAGGAAAGCTGTATAGAACAGAATGTAATTCTGCAATCCTGCCTAGCAGCATTCAATATAGCCAAAAAGCATCATGGTATATAACACACAAATTATAGTGAGCTCAGCTGAGTTAGTAATAGCACCGTGGCAATGTTTCCTCGACAGCTGTATACTGAAGGAGTCTAGTTGTTGTCTTAGGTTGCCCTTACAACAAGCCTGGCAAAGCAACAGGTTTAGTTTAATCGCCCCTCTGTTACCAATGGCATATGCTCTCCTTTCCTCCACTCCTCCCCACCATTCCATTCAACTGCCCAGAGCAAGGAAAATAGCCAGCATATTTGGTTCCGGTTACAGTTTTACCGTATGTGTTGCTGGACAGGGGGATAACAGTGAACCTGGAACCTTGCCTTGCATGTGCCAAGCAAAGTTTCACTTTACAACAATGGATCAATAGCACCTAACTTGTTGTTGAAAAGGTTTCCTATTTTCAAACAGAAGGGGGGGGGGGAGGTTACGATTATCCCCCCTGGAGCATTGGGGGTACCCTGTTTGGAGTTTGCATTTTTGTGCGGATCTGCTGTATGATGAACACCACCAAGCAGCTCCAAAGAAACTACTTCTTGGCTTTGTTGGGTGCAGCACTGCTTGGTCCTCAAGCACCTGTTATTGTGCAATGGGCCTCCAAGGCTGAGCTGTACCTTTGTGAGACAGTCCACAACAGAGACCAATGGCTTTTAAGGGGTAGGCCATGTCTTATCAACAAAAAGTCAAGTGGTGGTAACTTCAGATCTGCTGAGCATGGCTATTCAAAGAGCCAATGGTTTCCACCAATTAGCAGTTGGGGAGGGACATGGGGAGAGGAGTACCATGTTCTCTCTCAAAGAGGAAATCCCTCCCGAACTGATTTACCCCAGTCACCCCTTCAGCTCCCAGTAGAAGGCATTTATTGGTATCATGCTTAACAGAGTTATTCAATAAATGCAGCACTGCAGACCTTACTATAAGCCTCCATACTGCCTCAATAGGTTGTAGTAATTAACAACTGAAACACTGCTGATTGCTGATGAAGGCCAATGCCAAGATGAGAAAAGTCCTCAAGTTGTCATTAACTACCAAGTAAATCTAGAGATGCCTACAAACATGAGGAGAGAGACAGAACATTTGACCACTAAAGCATAAACATGCACCGCTGGTATCAGCCAAACATGCACATTTTTTTTCACTATGCCAACTCCGGTGCTGGACTAATTTCCTGGAGACAAACAAATGTTGGGGGAAAACCTGAGAAAGGAATTCTTCCCCTGAGACTGGTCAGTAGAGGGAATATGCAGATCCTATATTACGTCTTTGCTGCCCAATCCAACCAGTTACATAGAGAAATAAACATCTGATTCCTATGGGTATCTTAAAAGGTCAGTCCACCCCAAGCTTATATTTCAGTTTGGGTATATGCTGGAGAGTTAAACCATCTGTCAATTTCTAGCATCTCTTAGGAACTCTAATGGTGAGATATCTGTGCAGAGTTTCTGGGTCTGCACACTTGCTGTGCCCATTATGAGGGGTCCCCAGTCTTCTGCTGAATTTTCGATTTACTTTATATTATGGAAAGCATAATGGTAGGTGATGGAACACCCAGAGGCTCCAAGGTGGCCCAGAGCAGAGTCATGATTCATTTCAGAAAGATCTTGCATTAGAACATCCAAGACATACAACAAGCTGGGAGTGGACATAACCCTTCAAACTCTACCTACAACTAGAATATTTCAGTGGACTGACTCTCTAAAGCAGGGATGGCCAAACTCCGGCCCTCCAGCTGTGGTGTAACTACAAATCCCATGAAGCATCTCTTTCCGGGAGTCATGTCTGTGAGAATCTTGCAAAGCCTCATGGGATTCGTAGTTCTAACACAGCTGGAGGGCCGCAGTTTGGCCATCCCTGCTCTAAAGCAAACCTTAGATCCAAAAAACACACTAGACATCAACATCTGCATAGGACAGACGGTACCATAACATACCAATACATACTTCCTGTCCAATCCTCCAGCATGTACTGAAGTCCTCAGATTATCAGTATGTATTGATATTTGCAAATTCTAAAATAAGGGACTCTCTCCCCATATGCTAAAAATGGAGATCTTCCGAGAGGCATGGCCATTGGCACATTGGGTGCAGAGAGGGGGAACAGGCATGCTAATGGTCACTTTGGAGAAAGAAGGTATTTAAAAGGACTGCTGCGTAGGAGGGGTTCTTAGAGCCTGTGTCAACAGTCCGGTTTTGCATCCCCATAACTCTAAGGAAATGCAAAACCTGCTCGAAGCAGGCCAAATTTAGGTTCGGATGAAGTCAGTTGCATGTCAAATGCTGCTGTCAATAAATTCTAATTAATTTCAGAAGCATATCAAACTGATGTCAAATACTGCCGCCATCGACACAAGCCCAACGTCCATCATCATAAGATGTCGGGACATACCTCCTTATTTTCCTGGATGTTTACTTGGAGTTATGCATTGGCCCCTTATGTCTGTTCTGTGCATGGGTTGGGTTCATTATGACATATCTAAACACACCAAGTTCAAAGGTTATGGGGTTGACCAGAGTCCTCCTTGGCAGTGTAGGAAAGAACCTCTAACCACAGCCCACAACAGGGGCCAGAAGAGGAAAGGAAGGAGAAAGTCTTGTATTTGCCCTCAGAACAGACAAATTCTGCTACTGGATTGCCACCTGTGTTGTGGCAATAAGGCACCTCTGAAGACGTACATGTACAACAGCAGGAACTAACTGTAGTTTTGTATGACTGTAAAAGGAGCCCTGTGGGGTCTCTGAGGAGTAGTGTTAGATCGATAAGGGAGGTGACCAAAGTGCCTTAGTCTGGAATGTATCATAGGTCACCCAAATAGGAGGCGCTTGGGTTATTCTCCATGGTGTTGAAAAGCTTCCAGCCAGTGATGTACATCAAGGTATTGCCTCCACCAAACAATGTCCTAGGGCTTGGACCTAGCTTAATGCTGCTGCGCTTGTCCCAGCTCCTGTGCCTGTTTGCGAAGGTTTAGCCTCGAGCACCGTGGACAGCTGGTGGAGTTGTCATAATAGCAGTCTCTGTTATAAAAGTAAAGATTTGTTTAAAGCCATCTGTACATGAAACAAAATCTCAAAGTGTATGTAAAGCCAAACCTATTTTAGTTTTGGATGGAATAGGGAAGGTTAAAACTCCCTACTAGTTGTTGTTTTTTTCTGGCCATGTACCACTGGGGAAATTTTCCTTCACTTCCTGTCCCCCAAGATCCAGGTGTCCACTTTGGAAGATTTCTCTTAACCTCTTGTTTGGGGACAACTCAAAAATTTTGCAATTGCTGTCGCTTTCTTTCTCAGTGACAGTGGTCACCGGTGCAAAAAAGGATGACTCTATACAGACAAGACAGCAATAAAATAATTGACAAAAGACTAACAGTGGCCTACTCTATCCAAAACTAAAAAAAAAGACTTTTTGTCTTAATATAGACTTTGAAGGATAACTACTTGGTGGCGCTGGGATTACAGCGCCACGGTCTCAGTAATCACACAGAGCAGACGAAGAACGGGCGTCGGGCGATAGGGATTCGCTCCATAAGATGCGCACACATTTTCCCCCGCCTTTTGGGGGGGGGTGGAAAAGTGCGTCTTATGGAGCGGAAAAATACGATATAGATACACATACATGCACACACACTTTGCTTTAAAGAATATATACACACACTGTATACACACACCTCAATAACAGAGATATCAAATATATATTTTGCATCTAGTAGTGGCTTGTGTCTCATAAAAATAGAAATCCATGCCGGTCAGGAAGTTTCAGGCTTTACACAAAGCTGAGGACTTCAGTTCTTTGACTCATATAGAAGAGTGACGGGTGGATTAGTGGAAGACTGTAAGCCAGGAGTGAACTAAACAAAGACTTTTCAATAATCAGAGCTAAAAAAGGTGAACAGACCTGGCCCTGGAGCCCACCTTTTGGAGCCCCGGTCATAGCAATAATAGTTACAGTTCGGTCTCACCTATGGAACACAGCAGCGCAGTCCTGGCACACAGATGTGTGGCTATCGAACGGGAACAGAATGTCCCCCTCCTTACACAGCTCACATACGAAGCCCTTGGCCTGACAGCGCTGTGGATAAGACAAATAGACTTATCAGATTCCCAAATCTTCTAATGGATGCCTCAACCACCCTACAACCCACCACCGCCATGTCCCCCTTTGTTCTCACCTCGCAGTCCAGCTTGATGTGCTTTGCAAACATAGTGTGTATGTCGGTCAGAGAGCAGCCGAGCCGCCCGCTGCTGACATCCAGGAGATCCTGCAAAGAGTACATGTCATCGTTCTCCACAAAGTGCTGTCGTTCTTGTAGCTGCAGACAGAATGGTGTGTAAGCACAGCAGGACTTGACCATGATCCAGAAACACATATATACTCAGATCAATGACTGAATAAGTAGAATGGTTTATTTGCCAATTTACATTTTTCTGCAGGAAGGTCTGCGGACAATCACACAATGTAATAAACCGCACAAACCTCAATGACTAAACTGGAAAAAAAAAATCTACATATATCTTTTAATGCGGATAGAAAAATCCACCAATTCGCTCATCACTCCTAAGTTATAACGTGATTACATATTTAACAGATATGTATGAAAAATAAGAAATCATTCACATAGCTTTTGTGGGGCAAAAACGTTCTGATGTCGCCACGGGTGTGCAGGGAAAAAAAGACATAATATGGAGTTGGCTAAAACCTAGTTTAAAAACCCCAAAACAAAACATTTTTTTAATCAAAGTCTCTATATTGTAGATAAAACGTGCAGCTTAAGGTATAGAGGTGTGTGCTGTTATTTGCACAGCGACAGGAAGAGAATACAAGTGCATGTCAACAAAGTAAAGGTCCCCAGGAAGGCTGACCTGGCTCCATTGTCTGAGCTTGGGGATGATACCTGACAATTTCTCCGAGCTGTTGGAGGAGAGCAAAACTGTCAATTAGTTCCCTTTAATGTAATCCAGATTGCACCTATTATATGACAATTTTCTCAGTTTTGTTACTTGCACTAGGAAACAGGACAGCTACACAACCTGACACTCAGCCTGACACTTGCATCTGACAGGGACAGGATATAAATATTTAAAAAGCAAGAACTTCCTGAGACCAAAGGCTGGATTATTACAGTGTAACATTTCAAGAGCAGAGGTTCAAACTATTACCAATGCCTGTGGGCAATTGGTCCTAATTTAGTCCTGTATATCCTTTGATTGCGGTAAGAAACCCACACAGATATGGGAAGAACACAAACTCCATGCAGATAGAATTCCCTGTAAAAACTGGACCCATGACCCCGACATTGCTAACTTACAGCATAAACCCTTTTCTGACCTGTAGCAGCAGCCGAGCCTCCATGGCTTCCTTGCAAGTGATAAAGTAGGGCTTCATGAGCAGGATATCCTGGCGCAATTTCTGTTGGATAAAGAAAAGAGAAAATAGGAGTTGATTCAGCAGTATCTCTAACCACAGCATCTTAAAATAGTCACAGCTCCCAGAGTGGCCAAAAGTGATCGGACTTTGTTATGCATCACCAAGAGGAGCTTAATCTTCATATGTTTCTACATGGAGTTGATTGCTTCCACATATATACAAAAAGCTGATAAGGACATTTATCAATTCTGTCGCATGGCAAGGCAATGCTAAACCAGAGCAGAGAGACAGACTGTGCTACAGCTTTACTACAGGGTAACAGCATCATTCATAAATTCCTCTCACAGCTGCTCTAAAGTAGCCCCGCTGGAGAATAAAACCTGACTCCAAACAATTCTTAATTAGGCATATGTTTAGAGTGAACATCTGTCTCATCTTCAGTAATTAAAGGGAAATGCAACCTTTTAAAAAAAGGAGCCAGGAATAGACGCACGGAAGCTAAAACCCCTCCCATATACAGTATGTATTTAATTTGTGTAATAAGCTGTTCAGCTTTAAAGGAGATTTTTTAACTTGCATTTCAGGTTACAAAAAAAAAAGAAGAAATGTAGCAATCATTGTATGACAGAACAGTATCCTATGATTTTGATTGGTGGCCCCTTCTTTCCCTGTAAAGTATTCTCTTGCCCCACAGCCAGATTTCTGTATATGGCAAATAAATGCTAGTCAGCAACACCATAGAAAACCTATTGGGACTTCTTTTCTTCCCGTGTCACTAGCTGACCACCAGTGATTATTGTTCCCATGCCGTTGTTGACAGTGTTGAGCTGGATGTGAAAGGTGGCCTATACCAAGCCTTCTTTAGATGCTTAAAACATCAATCAGGCCATAGACTTGAATTAGAAATGCCAAAGCTCTTAGTCCTGGCATTTCCTTCTACCTTACCAATCCATGCCACTCGACTCCCAAGGCTTGGCCTCGACCAACACATACTTTGTCTTGTGTGACTTACCCGGATCTCCACCAGCTCCTCCACGTAGTTAAAAAGTAAAGGGTTAGTTTCCCGCAGCTTCAGCACCGGCCGGTTTAACATGAGAGCGAGGTACCGCATACTGCACCTCGACACCTGGAGATGAAGGTGACACTTTGTATTAGTGGAGGATCTACACCTAAAAGGGAAATACATCTATCTATAAATAGAGACCCTACAACTCGATATTTTATCTAGTCCTGAACCTAGCCGTTTGGTACCAAAACTTTAGTTGTCTGTTGACCTTTACCATATCTATTAGCCACCCATAATACCACTATTATCCACCTAGAACCCACTTGACTTCAGATAAGAGAGGAAGTTTATATACAGGATCTTCTCTTCATTTCCCACGTTTTACCTTAGAGACCAATCTGATGACCACCTTAAAGCAATCCTGCATTATCCTTTCCTTCTCCATCTAGCAGCAGATATACACCTATTCTTCACTCCAACCTTCATGGCTCCAATTGGCCACTGGGAGCAAAGAAATGTCTGCTACATCTGGGTATCAGGACCATGCAACTCGCTCACCTTGCGTGCATGCAGATGCAATGCTGGATAATGATGGCCACTGAGGCACCCATTACTGTCACATACTGGAGGAGAGCGAGTCCTCAGCTCTATGTAAGCTCCAAGTCAAACACAAATGTTCACCTTAAAGCTGGGCCCTGTGACCATCACCAAGTAGTACATCATGGAGGGAGCATATTTGCCCTATACCCAGCAGTTTGGGGTTTTTAGGAAGCTACAGTGGGGCAATACAGAGGCAGGCATTTTAAAGGTGAGATATGGAACCTTTGTGCAGGCTACCATTGATTTCTATGAACATTTAACAGGTGAGCTTTAATTTTCTTATCCGTCACTGTGACATGGAAAAAAGAAACTGACGATTACTATGGGCAACCCTGATGACACTTCTAACCATTACATCCATGGCTGCTTGGGATCCATGCTTACCTTCCTCGGCTCAAAGTCCCAGTTGTGGATAACGCGGGCCGGAATGACGGCAAGGTCGTTCCAGTGGCAATTGCTGCAGTAGTACTGTCCAGTGTAATCGCACTGACGAGCCTCGCTGGATGATACTCCTGTACATAAAACAAGACAATCCTAAAAAACAGAGGATACTAGTACTTCTTCCTACTCATATATGGCTTGTTCTATGTCCATGTGATGCAATTAAAGGGAATGTAACCTGTTATTCGTTCTTTTTTTGCTCTGGTAAATATATAATTGGAAGCGTTTTGTGATAGCCGATCAATAAATTGCCAATACCTGTTGATCTTGTAATGCTTTGGACTGAGCAACAATTGACCCTACAATAAAATGTACATCTTGCTACTGGAGGCACTAGTAATTAGATAAGTCACTGATCTGCCAGAATGCTACTAGTATCGGTGGCGATGCCGAGTATTTGGGCGATGCCGAGTATTCACCTCATGACGAGGGAGCATTGAGCCAGCATTCCGGGCAATCAGGAAACCGGGCGCCGCATCATTACACGGCACCTGGCTTCCTGATTGAACAGAAAGTAGGCTCCATGCTTACTCGTCACACGAGAAGCATGGGAACGGCTTCCCGGCAAGCCAGGTGGCAAGTCATTACATGCCTGCCTGGCTTCCTTAATGGGACTTCTGGTATCAGTATTCGGTATCGGCGAATACTGAAAAAAAAAAAAATTAAATATCGGTACTCGATACAGAAATACCGATATCGATTCATCCCTAATATAAATGTTATTTAGACGAGAGAGAGAGAGAGAGAGAGAGAGAGAGAGAGACAAACTGCGCACACTGGATTACCTTTAGAGGAGATTGCTGAATACTGTGCTGTGGAAATGCTGGGCTTTGATCTGACTCCTGAGGGAGTAATCCCGATGAATTGATGGACATAAAAAGGTGTTTTTGAATTTCTGATGAATTTGGGACTATAATCATTTGGCACTTGCTATTACTTGGACACATTCTTTCATTATTTTGATATTACAATTTGTTTTGTATATTATTTGGTGGTTTTTTTTTAGCACGGTTGGGATATATTGTAAATATCTTTTTACACATGAATTGATCTTCAACGTTTTAGCACAGTTTTGTTGAATAATTTGATTTAATATAGCACGCTTCCAAGTCTGCAGTAAATGTTCGGGTTTCTCATAGGAAAGCCTAGCAGTCACTGGCTGCTCCTATAGACTGAAGGTATAGTTGCAACCACCAGTATAGGAGAGAAGGAGGGTGTGCCCTCCTCTCAGTCATTCAGCTGTGTGTGTAAACTTGAGATCCAGGCATTACAAGAGAATTTAAAAACACACGATTAATTTTGTCTACTTACGTAAAGAGATTGGCGCTCGGCACTCTGCACAGCGATAATCCTGGCTATCTAGTCCATCTTCAGGACAAATGGTCAACTCATACTCGGCCTGGTGACTGACCTTTGACCTCACGCAGGGCTTAGTGATGAGATTAAGACATTTGCTATGGCAACGATAGTAGCAACCTAAGGAACAAGACCAGCAGTCAGCATAAGGCCCGCAAGCTAGATTTTTTTATTTTGTAAACAGTGCTTGCATGCCTCCAAATCTGCATTTATTGTGGCTTTCTCAATGGGATTTCCTGCTGCAGTGCAGGCATAGCAGTTAGACCTAGGATTCTCTATGACCTCTGGTTTGATCACCTGTTGGCTGCACAGCTCAGTGGTCATAGGCTTACCCCACTTTCCCTATATTTGCATACGGAGCACAGCACAACATTGCACAGAACAAGAGCTCTGCCTTGTGGTCTGCCTTCTCAGCTCATATAAGAGGATAGCAATGGTTACATTTATATGTCGATTCTCTCCAGTGTTCTCCTGAATCTCGTTGCGAACATGTATTTAAAATTTATTATGATCCTCAGCTCCATCTAGTGGTCATGATTCAGTGTGTTCCCCATTCTTTATGAATAAAGCCATTGGAGCACATTCTGCCAGAAGATATATTACAAAAAGAACATTCGATTTTGCCCCATTCTCACAACAACTGGTGTTATGGCAACAGCCCCTGGCGGTGAGACAGACTCACCCAAGGCCCAGAGTCTAGGCACCAGCTGTTTTTTACCTCCTAAAGGTGGAGATGGATTTCGCTGCATGCCAGTACCAGGTGCTGGCCCTCAGGATCGCCCTACAAGGGAATGAGCGTGGACTAAGAGGCTATGCTGCTGAGGCAGTAGACCAGGGAGAGAATAGCAAAGGATCAGGTCTGGGCAGAGGTCAGCTATGGGCAAGGCAGCAGAATGGTCAGGTTCAGGCATTCGATCGGGTCCAGGCAGAGGTCGGCAATGGGTAAGCCAGCGGAATAGTCAGGTGGCAAACAAAAGAGTAGAATCATTTCAGGGAGATCTGGAACTCTTGGCAGGGATTCTGTGAACACCATTGGAGGTACTGGCAGAAATCCTGCAAGTGCCATTAAAAGTCTGTGAACACCATTAGCACTACTGGTAGACCTGGGAGGTACTACGTATAACAGACGGTTAAATCACAACTAGATCAGAACTAATGTAATGTACATGGAGTTTTGGTGAATGAATAAGCTATGCAAATCTTTGATACACAATCCCCATGAAGTGTATTTAAAGCTACAAAAAAATTATATTAATTGAATACATTAGTTTATTACACAAGTGTCTGTGAGATGTTACTTGTGTCATAGCAGCCTCATGTACTAGGAAATACCCGGTGTTATTGCCAGTTCCTCTGTTTAATGGTTACGAATCCTTACAATAAAAGGGAACACATTGTATCCAGTGTTTCTCTGAACCTTTCTTTTTTGTTACGTTGATCCTGCCAGTTTCCGTGTGTAATTCTGACAACGCCAAGATCTGTGCTGGCGTGGTCAGTTTGCATGACGGCTCTTGCTGATCGGAGCTACAGGACACCGTGTGGCTGTACGGCTGTCCCTTTGTCGCCATGCCCCCTGCATTGACTGACAGTAGGGATACCCTTTTGGAAAGCAGTATAAACAGACAGGGAAGTGCTTCCGCTGTGCCTAACGTCATTAGGCAGCCTACCCTCTAGCAATAGAGCTATGCCCCCTGCATTCGGAAGAGGGGCGGGAATGGAAGCTGCGCAGTCACATGATAGTGGAATAAAACAATTTAAATAAGGTATATACATGCATGCAAAAAAAAAAGTTCTGCTTCTGTGTAAAAGGCTTCACAAATAGATAAAATATAAGAAGTCCTCCAGGGGACTGAACTCTCTACCTGTGCAGGTGTACCAGGTCTGGATGAGGCCCCAGATGAAGGTGTTGCATTTATCACACATCTGCTTCACACTCTTGCTCTTCTCTTTGTAGAATCGGTGTTCCAATATGATTCGCATGTTGGGTTCCTCTTCATGGGGGTCCTTAACAGGGG